CTGATTACGATAATTTATAATATTTTTCACTTATGCTATTATAATGATTATAATGATAAATATATTTATTTACTTTTATTTTGATATGAATAAATAGCATCTCGCACAGAGCGTTTGAAGTATTGTTAGTCAACCGTGAAATACGATAATGTGTATTCAATTACGAAAATAGGATATAGAGGGAGATTCAATGTTTTATTTTTCAATGACATGTAATTTTTTTTAATAATATTTAATCTTATAACCCGATATGTTACACGACCAATCTTATTTNAATATGTTACACAACCAATCTTATTTATTTTTGTTCTTTGCCTACTAGATCGCATAGTTAAATATATTATATTTACATTTCACATATTTTACTTTGAAGAAAATGATTTTTACTTTAAATTACATTTTTTCTTTTTTTATATATAATATGATTTCAAGTATGTAATATTGTTATATCGGTTTTCACTTGATGCACTCTAATATTATCATACACAAAGATTCACTTACTTTATCAGTTTGTATCGACCAAAGAGAGAATTAACATTTCATAATGTTGTCCGACGCAATTATGCTTTTATATATATACATATGGTGGGAACAAATAAATAAACACGGATTGTATTTCAAACTATTTATTTTAATAGAATACAAAAAAAAATCATTNAAAAAAAAAAAAGAAATCATTCCCCGATCTCATTGCATTCTGAAACAAAAAAATTGTACACTTATCGTATGTTGCAACATTACGAATTTATTGGATTGGAGTTAGAGGCAGAACTGCTCATTAAACATTTGAAAAAGCAAAGTTTAGTATATTACAATTACCAAAACAGTTCTACCTCTAATTGTGTTACACCTATGCATCTCATACCTTGCTCCGGCATTTCTATGTCAGGAGGTGGTGGTCCCTCCTGTTGCTGTGGTGCCTTTTTCTGTGCCGCTTCCAGGAGTCTTCGCAATTTCGCGACTTCTTCCTTCGCAATTTTCAACCGTTTTTTCATAGTAATTTTTTTTTTTAACGTTTCTAAAATAAACATAAATATATTGAACACATGAAAGATAATTGAAGGTTATTTTACCTTTATTTCGGCAGTCCCGCTTAAAGTGATTCGGGCTGTTGCATATAAAACACCCTGCGAAAATTAAAATTTCATTTCAATGTTACTTTTTAAACGGTACACGTGCATAAATCTATAGTATACTTACGTTTACTCTTTTGTCGTCCGCTTTCGTCGGGCCGACGTGACGACGGCTGCCCATAAAAATTATTAGTTATGATTGGTTTTATAATAATTTGTTTCATTATAACATATAACAATGACTCCACAAATACTACTAAATGATTTTCCCAATCGCAGGGGAATTCTTTACCACTCCCAGGTCGGACTTTGGACTTGGTTACTTTATAATCTCCGAGAGTCAGTATTTGAACCAATTTCAAACAGATCCGGCCGCCGATTTTTGTTGACTTTTTTTGTGGCGCTATTTACTTATTTTGCTGTACTTCCGGACTCTAAGACAATCACCGGGATTCACGTACGATTTACATCGTACTAAAATCTGTTTAATTTTTTTTTTTTACATAAAACGCGAATGCCTAACCACTGCAAATCAATTTTTTTTGCGCGCGACCCGAAATTCACGGTAACACGGCCGCTGGAGTTTTCCGTCACGCGCGTAAGTTGCACTTTGAACCGTGCGACTTTCTATCGTCCGTGTTTCGGACCACGACCGGGTTTCGGTCGTTCTATCGATATTATTCGTATCAATGTGCTCGCGTTATGTAATCAACCTGTTGATCACAATCAATTGACACATTGTCATCGTTTCATAGTGATGATCTAGATTTATAAAAATTGATTATATATTACTNATTTATAAAAATTAATTATATATTACTTATATTATAACCATAAGTGTTTTATATAAATATATAATTTATATATAGTTCATATACAGAATAATAATTCTTATATAATTTATAAATAGTTTTTTTTTTTTATATATATATATAATCATACCCGGTTTTTGACCACAGAATTTATTTTTTATTTTCGTTCTAAACATGGTAAACCGGTGTGTTTTGTGCTTCGCCACCATCGCCGACGGTGTCAGTTTACACAAGTATGTACACGTTAATTAATTGTTTTCGATTCGACGTCTCCTTCAGTCTGATGGACATTTGCGTTCGTAGATTTCCGAGGGATGCCCAAAGGGCCGATTCGTGGCTACAGTTTATCGTGGCTTGCGGCCGTAATCCGTCGGACGTAAACGTACGCAATGCGTTTTTGTGTTACCGGCATTTTCTGCCCAGCGACTACGGTAGCAGTACTGTACGCAGGGTGCTCAACCGGAACGCCGTACCGTCCGTAAGTAATAATTATAATAGTTAACAGTAATCGCTACAATTGTCTTCGACGATCTTGCTTTTCACTTTAAGGTCAGTATCACGGAGCAACACGATGAGGCCGACGTAATAAATTTGTTTAATTAATTTCATTAAGAATCGTAGTAACGGTTACGGAATGTGACGGTATTAATTCGTTCACTTTTTCAAATATTTCTTACAACGCGTATATATGTATGTATACGTTGCAAGTATCGCGTACACAACACGTCAGGTTCCGTACCCGAGTTATCCTGAATTGTAACAATAAAAGTTGGCACCGTGTAGATTGAAATTGTTCGCGTGGTGGACATTGATGTTGGTGATGCCGGACCGTTCGGAGGAAATGTCGTCGCTGGCGGTGTTGGTGCCAGTGGAAACGATTTGGTGAACATTATACGCATAATAATAATAATAATAATAAATTTACTGTACATTATTGTATTTTTATGTACGCAAACAATTCTGTAGGTTGAAGTGGTAGAAGTACCCGTTGGAGCGTCACCCGAAATTGTCGATGTCGGTCCGCTCGACGTGAGCAGTTTTTATTGCGTTGCATTATAATTACATTTTATATACATATTTTTTTTTTCATGTAGATTGAAGTGGTCGGGGCTCCCGTCGAACCGTCGCCCGAATTTGTCGACGTCGGATTGGAGGACGTCAGTAAAATTATTAAATCGCTTTTCAATACGATGGACACATAAACTTTTAATTAATTATTGTTTTTTTTCCTCTCATTGTGTAGCTTGCCGTCGTCGGAGTTCTAAACGAACCAGCCCTCGACGTCGCTACGTCCGAAGTGAGTTTAGTTATTTCGAACATTACAATAAATAGTATATTAAATATAGCATTCGGCTTTAATAAAACGGAATCTGTTGTACAGGGTGACGTGCATTATATTATAATACGGTGTACATCTTTTTATCTTTTTTTTTTTTTTACAAAAATTACAAACGTTCATTTAGCGACAGCGCCGTAGTGTTCATGCAATAGTGTACAAAATGTATATGTAAATAATCTTTGTTATCGTAATATTCTCTCGCGCCTCTCATTGTAAAATTTTCCCTTCCCTTCTCGTGTGTTTGTCATCTGTTATTGTAAATAGTTAATTTTAAGTGTTTGTGTTTTTCTGTTTATCGTTTTATCGGCAACTATTGCTTTTATAATTATTATGCGTATGATAAATTGTTTGTCATTACTTTACTTTCTTTTTTTCGTTGATATTCGGCAACTGAAGCCATCTGGTTCTTTTTTTTTATTGTACAACATAAATTTACTTTTATTTGTTTTCTTAATTGTAAATGCAATTTAATTATTGTAATAATAAAATTTTTTTTAATCAAAACCAAAAGTATTAAATTCTTATTGGTGAACAGAAAAGTGTTGATCTTTAGGCGAAATAATCGCCTTCATCCGACAGGTAATTAACCACATTAATGTATAACATTAATAGTTATTTGTCAAATTAATTAAACTTAAAGTTAAAGTATAAACATTTTATGGTTCACTAAAATTATTGTTAATTCTGGTTTGTTTTCTTATTCTATTTTATAGAATATTTTTATTAATCTTTTATCTAGAATTATCTTTTCATGATTACTGTGTATACATATGATGATAGTGTGTATACATTACAAACTTGGCATAAATACCATGATTAGAAATTAGATAAGGCAATTATTACTTATCACTCTCATTAAAAAGTATATTGAAAAGATAGCGTTTTCTTCTGTCCTTTTCTCAATACGTATTTCAATGTTTATAACCGTAAAATAGTACATGAAAATTCAAATTTTCACAAACTTCAAAACGCTACAGAATATTTACTACTGAATATTAATAAGATATTTTTTTACTAAAATTTTTCTTAAATTTTACTCTACAAAATAGCTATCTTAGATATTTTTTTTACATTTTATTTAAAATTTAAAAATAATTAATATTTTTAATAAAATGTAAAAAAATTAATTATTGAGATATAGCTATAGACCTAACGTATAACTATTATCTAAAAAAAAAATCAGCTAAAAATATTAACTGGATCAAAAGTTATTTAAGTTGTATATAACACTTCGATATAAAAAATACGTTACTTTTTTTCTATGATATATGACGTTAATCAAACAAATTGTCAGCACACCACTTTAACGTTTGTGGAACACTCGAATAAATTATAATAACATTTAAGATATTATTATTAATTACCTAAAGTAATTTTTTTTTGTTATTACCCTGCCGATTAATTATTTATTTTAAAATACTTTACCGATTATTTACACTTTCACTGACCACAGGATGAGCCGAGCGGCGATACCCAACAGGAGGGGGGCAACGCCTCGCTACTGTCAGTTGTACTTCATCAGCTCGACGGAGGCTACCGCGGCGTGGATTGAAGCCAATCGCAGCCGAGCCAATCTGTTGGAGAGCGTGTTACGGCAACTCGACGAAATGTTGAGGGCCATCAACCCGTACGCTGAAGCGTTCAGGTAACGCCAACGACCGTTGTCTCATTTCTATTTATATATATAATCGTTATCTTTCGTCTCTCGCAGGAATATGAACGAGGTGTGGGTCGACGAGACCCGACGACCACCAGAAGAGGCACCGCAAAGAGTGACCATGTTCTTCATCGAAGACCGCAACAGCGACCCGAGGCGCTACAATGCCTCAAAGGGTCAACGAAGTTGCAGCTGTGTTCACCGGCGAGAACGGCTTGCCGCCGGCGCAAGTGGATTTCGCGGTTTACGACCGCGCGACGGCCGGACCCGCGATGCGCACGCTGTCGACGAGGTCGCCACACATCGATCCGATGGTATACCCGCTGCTCTTTCCGAACGGCGAAAGGGGATGGAACCCACACATGGAACAGACGGGCGCGCGGAGAACGACCAACAGGCAACGCGTGTCCATCAGGGNTAACAGGCAACGCGCGTCCATCAGAGAGTTCATGTGTTATCGTCTGGCCGTCCGTTACGGGGGCAACGACGATGTCGATCACAGCGAGTTCAGCCCGTTACACGCCGGTGGTTTTCTGTTTCAACAGCTCCTGTGCGATTACTACGTGCGCATGGCATCGGAGCGGTTTGAATACTACGAGGCGCACCAGTCGGACTTTTTCGTGGAGGCCTATCAAGGTCTGATAGATCACATCAACGGGTAACACGACGTGACCAGGGACAACGACGTCGGGTCCCGCGTAATTCTACCCGCTTCGCACACGGCCAGCGTGAGGTTCATGAAAAAACGTTATCACGACGCTATGGCCTTGGTGCGGATATACGGCAAGCCCGATCTGTTCATCACTTTCACTTGCAACCCGAAGTGGAAAGAGATCGCCGACAACCTGTCGGACAAGTTGACGTACATCGACAGGGCCGATTTGGTTTCGCGCGTGTTTCACGCCAAACTCAAAGCGCTGATGGACGATCTGACGCGCAAGAATATTTTCGGCCGCGTAGAGGCTTACGTCTACACGGTCGAGTTTCAGAAGCGCGGTCTACCGCATGCGCACATACTGCTCATNTTTCAGAAGCGCGATCTACCGCATGCGCACATACTGCTCATTCTCGAAGAGCGGTTTAAAATACGTTCGGCCGAAGAAGTAGACCGAATCGTGCGAGCGGACATACCGGATCCCGTTACACAGCCGGTGCTGCACCATTTGGTTAAGGCCCACATGTTGCACGGTCCGTGCGGTATGTTTTTCAGAACGTCGCCGTGTTGGGATCAAGAGAGAAACGTTTGTACCAAGCAATACCCCAAACCGTATTGCGAGGAAACGATTTACCGCGCTGACGGCGGTTACCCCTAGTACAGGCGACCCGGCAACGGTCGTACCGTCGAAGTACGTCGGGCCACCCTGGACAGTCAGTGTCAGGTTACAATCCTTATCTGACGGCCAAATACAACGCCCACATCAACGTGGAGGTGTGCTCTTCGGTGAAGAGCGTAATGTATCTGTACAAGTACGTGTACAAGGGCCACGACGCCGCCACGTTCGCGGTGTTCAACAACAACGAAATACAGAGGTATAATAACAAAAACATGAACTCGCGAATCACATTTAAGTCCGTTTAAACAATTTAATTGGTTTCGTTTTATTTTTCAGCTATTTGAACACGAGATACGTGAGTCCGCCAGAAGCGNTACGAGATACGTGAGTCCGCCAGACGCGTTTTGGCGTTTGGCCAAGTTTGAAATTCAAAAGCAGACGTAGTAAAACTACCGGTTCACCTTCAGGGCCGGGAACCGGTTTATTTCCGATGGGGTGAGGTGCCGCCCGCGGTGCTCTTCGGCGCCGGGGTGCGCACGATGCTCACGGAATTCTTTCAACTGAACAAGAACGACGCCAACGCCAGTCGGTACCTGTATCACGAAATACCCAATTATTACGTGTGGGATAACAGGGAAAAGTCATGGCATTTACGCCAACGAGCCCAGACATATCCAACCATCGCGAGAATGTATGCTGTCAGTCCTTGCGACAGAGAACGTTTTTACTTAAGGACGTTGTTGCTGTACCGCAGGGGACCGGCCGGTTTCGAGGACCTGAGAACGGTTGACGGTACGGTGTACCACACTTACGCCGAAGCCGCGACGGCTCTGGGCATTTTGCGAGACGATCACACGTGGAGGGCGTGTTTACGAGAAGCTTCCTTTCACGACACGCCGCATCAGTTGAGATGTTTGTTCGTCACGATACTCTTGCATTGCTCGCCCAACGACCCGCCGACACTGTACGACGAGTTTAAGGTATGACGACATCTCGACTTTACAAATGTATAAATCATTCATTAAGTACGGGGAACTATTACGATTATCCGTCGACAATTTATAGGACCGTGGAATGGTAGTCCGACTTCCTTTTTTTAAATTTGCATTGCGATAATGTTCTTTTAGTGCGAGTCAATATTTTACAAATACCTACACGGTTAAATATTATAAATTCCATTTTTGACGGATAAAACAATTTCCAACGATAATGATAATTATTATTGTTCTTATTATTATTCTTACTAATAACGATAATTATCATATTAATATCAATCATATATAATGATAATAATAATAACAATAATTATAAGTAAATGAATAGGACGGTACGCCACCGAACGAACTTCATCGGATTTTAAACTAAACGTTTATCTAATGCGCGATAGTAACGAGTCGTGTTCTTAGCGTTTTTCTACAACAGCGAAAATAAGTAGATTCAACGCTATTGCAACACCGCGACTTTTCATGCAATATACCATTGACTAGAAAATTAAAATTTCCTACATCAATTCGATATTATTCGTAACATTAATTTACGTGTTCATTACGAATATCTTTTCATTGTTATAGTTGATGTTTCTTCAATAGTGTTCG